GACGCCCATAAGAAAAAATAACGTTGATGATGGTTTCTCGCAACCGAAACGTCGCAATGAAAATCTAAGTATTCAGTGAAATTTCTTGAAAAAACTTGCTGTGAAAAAGTGTTTTCGGATTTTTAAAATTCCCCTAAATAAAAAAAAATCGAAAACACATTACTTTTTTTTTAATAATTCAAAAACCTGAAGAGCTAGGACCGATCTGCAAGTCCATTAAGTTAGCAACGGAACTGTCTAAAACTTTCCGCATTTAACCATATTCCTATCTCTTATAATTTCCAAGATACCAATACATGCATCACCAAAATTGTCCACACTGTATATATTTGTAGAGGCCTTTCCTAATAAATATATTTGGGTTCTTCATCTCATAAAGTAGTTATTAAAAAAGACTAAATAAAAAGGTGAGTCACAAGGTATTTTATATTTACGGAGAGGAATTTGAAATTTCTTATTTGGCCGAGTGCTATTATGTATATTTTGATTTAAAAAGTTGACTCTCTAAAAGCGTACACGGATATTTCAGAAATAAACAATGATACAACAGTTCGAATATTAACATTTAAAAAAAAAATAGTATACATAAATGGTCACTAGGTATCCAAGATGTATACTAGAATACGTTTTTGATAACTAAGGACATCTGATACATGGAATGAGATTCTTCAAAAAACAATACCATATCTCAACTTCGAACTCACAATATATGTGAATCTCATAGACAGTTATAAATTGTAATGAAGTTAAACCAAGTTTTAGGTTTCTTATCAAATATCACTCCGAGTTTAATTTTCATATTAACTGAAGTAATATCAGATATCCAGGTCAGGCATTCATGTTACTCCCACGAATTTAATTTATTTTTCGTACCGTAAAATATTATATTCGTTTAAAGTTATACATAATTTGGTACAATGTTTAAAACTTAATTACTTAAGTTTTTTCAGGATTAAGATTTGATTCATCCCAGTCACCCACAGTCTTTAATATAGTTAGTTTAATAAATCTCATTTATATCATGGTAAATTGTGTGATGGTCTTTGTCAAAGGTGATGCAAAAAGATATGGAGTCAAGTCAAAGTATGACAGTTATGTGTTTTTCGCATTACTATCAAATATTTAGATAGATTATTCTCAATTTTCTATGAAGATAGATTATCATACTCAGATCTTTGTTATTAAAAATTATGACTTCATTTGATAAGACCTCTATGAAAATTTTTAGAATTAATTTGATTTAGCTCAATAATATATGTATGAATAAATTAAAAAAAAATGTTTTTTTTAACTTCTAACAAAACTGAAAGACTGTCGTAACATCTGTCACACCCTGTGTAATCCAACACATTCCATTGTTATTTGCTTAGAATTGTTACTTTGTATAGTTTTAATCACTATTTGTTAAAATTAACTGCATAAAAATGAAAAAATCCAGTTCATTTGAAACTGGGTTACTCAGACGAAAAAAAAAAAAAAACAAGATCGTCAAAGCACTAGACATTCTAGAATATTTTGGTATAAATCAAGTTATTCTTTAGTGATAAAAGGTATGTATTTATCAATAATCAACACTTTCTAACGTTGGTTTCTATCTGGGTCGTTCCCTAGTCAAATTTAATAACTGGGATATTTACATAATAATTTAGATAGCAAAGCTCAAGTGGATGCCGTTATTACTGATTCAGTGAAACGTCTGATAAAATAACCATTAACATTTTCTTTTGCCAGGAGCCAGAATTATTGAGGGCTGGTGTGATGAGAGCCGTTCTGGTAAATCGAATTAAATCGGTTAAAAATAGATACTTAAGTGTTTCGACCTTAAATTATGGAAAAAAAATATGTAAGTGTATCATTTTAAAGAATTTTTTAATATAATTTTCAAGTATAGAATATTAATAAATGCTACTAAACGCACACTACAACATCAACTGTTTTACTGAACGCTTAAAGTTGTAATTATTGGACCAACAAACAATAAATATTAAATTCGGACAACTGATCATTTTCTCAGTATCTACTTGGTAAAGTAAGTTTACAGAGTGTTCCTATTTGTGTGTGTAAGTAAAAAACAAATGAAGATAAAATATATATTTTTAAATAAACCCCATGACGTATAATTTCATCAAAATTGTAAATCTTGCAATTTTGCTGCTAACTATTTTTTAATCTAAAATGAAATAATCAGCGCTGATTTTAATTTCGGACATAAGAAAAAGTCACAAGAAACCAGTTCTGGAGAGTGAGGGAGGACGGTAAACCGATTTTTGGCACAAAACTGACGAATTGACAAATAGCTCAGTAAATGAAAAAAATGTTTAAAAAAATTCGTTTCAGATTGAAACTTGGTTTAATCGTTAGTTTAGGCAAAAAGAAATAATATTTCCCAAAAAGTATCGGTTTAAAACAACAAGATCATTGTTTAAACAATGATTATAATGTAAAAAATACCAAAAATGGAGTTTTTTAGCTGTATTAAAAAGCGCTCTCCAACAGGAGTTTTTGCTTATGTTTATACTTATAGGTTTTCAAAAAACGCTTCATTTGAGACCTGCTAAATCAAAATCCATTAACAATTTGTTTAAATAATTGCAAAAAACCAGCGAAATTTGAATTTGCTATAAATAGAAGAAAACAGTATAAATCGTCTCTAAACTGCAGTAAAAGTTGCATTTTGTTACGCTTAAGAAACGCTGAAAATTTGGTAAAAAAATATTTATTTGTTTACGAGTTTTTGCATTTGTTTATTAGAAATAGCATTTTTTTTAATTGCAAAAAATTGTTAGCGTTATAATAAAGGGCCTTATGAGGGCTCATTTGTTTCGTCTTAACTTATATTTTCAAGATATGCAATTGGAAATTGTAATTTCATAGACTAACCTCAGATACATAATTAAATAGGAAGAAAAATATGACATTTTTCGAATTTTTTTAACATATTGTGCCGCCAAAAGTTAAGTCCACGTTTTTTTTTATGCGCATTGAAAAATTTTCATTTCTAGTGATATTTGAAAGCCAAAAAGTAAAAAATCTCCGTGGATATACGAGTACGATTCACCCAAACCAAAACAAATACCGCCTAGTCTATAATATATAGTGTAATTTGTTTTTAAGGTTTTTCGTTAATAACTTTGCGAAGAATGAATATTTTTTAAAGCCGCTTTGATATTCGTAATCCTGGTAATTTTTCACGAATTAAAAAAAAAATAAAATGTCCCAGGACCATTTTTAGCCGAGATAGCGTTTTTTTTTAAATTCATAACTTGTTTATTTATAAACATTAAGACTTGAAATTTCCGGAATAAATCAATCAACCCTTAAACTTCAAAATAACGGTTCAAGATATCGAAAAAATGCATTTTATAGTAATTTTTAATCCTTTAAAAACGCCCTCGAATACATTTCTATACTTGAAAGTGGTGGGGGGAAAAATAAGACAGAAACGTTCCGAGACTTCAAATCTTACCTGCCCGAAAATTTTGCCATCTCGGGTAATTGTGGACCAATTTTAACGTTTTTTTTTTTTAATCTGGGGTAGCGCAAGAAAATAATAAAAACTTCACGGTCCATTTTGCAAGAATTAATTATTAGTTTGTTATAAACTATTAATTTTGTAAAAAAAAATATTTTATCGTATTTTTCAAGAAATATTTTTTCACATTGGTACCAATAAACAATTTTCTTAAAAAACAATATTTTTATGTAAAAAAATTTAGGAAAAAATATATTTTTTATGTACCTATAAAGTTTATTTTAATGAGAATAAGCTTTAAAAAATATCTGAGTAAAAAATGACTCAAAAAATAGTTAAATTTAAATCATATTAAGAAAAAGTCAACTCTAAATAGGTTTTGCATACTCAGAATGGAGTCAAAAATCGCTCAATTGATAATTAGTAGTAACTTGGATTTGAGTAAAACTCACTCAATTCTGATGCAATAGTTTCACTCAGTTGTACTCATACTAATAAAGTGAAAATTTCACTCAATCAGGTGTGGACACAATATTGAGTAAAATTGAGTGAAATTTGATTGAAATTTTTTTACAGTGTAAATTTTAACATTACGTTTGTATCGTAACAGTAATTTATATGATTTACTTTCAACTTTTTCCCTGCAATATTAGTTGAAAAAGTGAAAAAAAAACGGCATAATTATATTTGGACTACATTTAAAGATATCGAAATAAAATCAATGAAACGGCGACAATTACAGTTTTCAATTTTTTTACCTAAAAATCACGTAAAAATATAAAAGCAAAATCTAGGATCACTAGCACAATGTAGTATTTGCTTCTTACTGTTTCCATACAATTATATAGGGTGTCCGGAAATTAAACCGACAAAGGAAGACAACAAATTTTAGGGATGAATTCATATCGATTTGACATAAATCGTCTTATCATCAAAAAATGCTTCCCAACGGATGTAGGGCTTTTTGGAGATGGCCCTTTGACATTGTTTGTTTTTAAGTTGTTCAGATCGCTGTTTATCTATAAGGATCCTAGGTTATATGGACAACCTTTTGATGTAAAACTGTTCGTGAATTTTTAAATGCTACATACGGACAACAGTTAATTTTTGTCTCTAGGGATAACTAAAATCATTAATCTGTTCTCATAAACACGTGATCAGCTTTGGGAACGAATTTAACACATCGTCAATCATTAGAGAAACTAATCACATTATGCATTAAAAGTACAATTAAAAAAAATAATGTCAAAGGGTCCTCTCTCCTTTAGAAAGCGTTTTTAGATAAGACGATTTATGTCTAATCGACATGAAATTATCCCTAGGATTCGCTGTCTTCGTTTGTCGCTTTAGTTTCCGGACACCCTGCATTTAACAAGAATATAATACATTTTGCTTATTTGTATAAAATAGGTACTTTTAAAATCGGCGTCTGCATACAGCGGAACAATCTACCGAATCGAGTAATATTCCTAATTAACTTGCCGCAGTTTATTCGCCAAAATTGCATTTTTATTGCGAACGTACTTACCGGCTTGAGCAGCGAAATGCAATGGAGTATTCCCTTCGTTATCCGGTTTATTGGGGTCCAATCCGGGTAATTGCAGTATTTGCTCCAACAGATCTATCGTTCCATTAGAAGCGATATAACTTAATACTGTCTGCAAAGAAAAAGGAAACAATCAGGATGATTGATAGCTTTGCGGCGGATATAAAATATTTGGGGCAATTGGTTCTTTCCCGTTTGTAAAAAAAATAAATAATGCCATCTGGTATCAAAATTATTAGTTACTGTGCAGAGTGACTCGTAGTCATTTGGAAATATTTGAGGAATGTTCATTGCAAACGATGAGATTAAGTAAATGAGATTATTCATATAAATTTAAATGTAATATTTTGAAAACACATAAGATTAATAGATTTAAAATGTGTGGCCTAAAATTAATATATGGCCTCAAATGTTTCTAAACTATATTTTTTCACATGAGTAAAAGCTTCAGGTGTTCAGAAAATGGCAATTGTTAGGATTTGGGGAGGGTTTGCAAAAATATCGTTACAATGAGTGAAAAATCGTTTTTTCGTATTAACTTTTTCGTTTTTCATTAAATTTGGATTGGATTGGTAAACTGAATACATTAGAAGGAATAGCTTTAGATAACATAGCTTTTACCCAAATTAACCAAATTTAATGAGGAGAAAAGTTTCAACGATAATTCCTCATCTCTCTACTTCAAGAGCTAATAACTCGCGCATATAAAATGTAAATTAAACTTGTAACGTTTTAAGGCCAATCTGAGAGAGTGCCCACAATTTTGTGGACATTTCCTATAATTTTTTTGTATACTTTAACGATTTCCTCAAACAAATATATACTGTATAAAAGTGCAGAAATAATTTGTCCATTCATAAGCACTTTTTGAGAACCATTGTTCACATAGAAGGCAATTCATGCGTGCACGCCAACGAATTCTAAGTTTGCCAAGTCATATGTCATGAAAATTATTGAAACCTCTTTTAGTTTAGTGCTACATGTTAAATCTAAATCTAAAGCACTGTGACGGATTCTAGTTTAAATAAAAGTAACTAGTTTTAAGAACAAATTTAGAAAAATACGTAGTGAACTTAATCAAAATTTTAACTACATAATACATAAATCCCTAAGCAAATTAATTTCAGTAAGTTAAATGCCATCATAAAGCCAAAGTGAAAATTGAATTACTTAAATAGCAAATATGTTTAATTATTAAAAATAAATTTAAAAAAACTGCATATTGAAAAATAAGGTACTAAAACAGTAGATATTACCAAATACCAACAAACAATTACGCTAAAGCTGTTATAATCTGTCCATCTGCTTGTACACATTATTATTATCGATTTACTATCGATTTTCGGAAAATAGTTTATTTTAAAAGTTTTTTTTTTCTATTTTCTAACGATAGACAATTTTAGACACGCCCTGTATATAGTAACTTATTAAATTACGTTATTCATTTTAAGTTAGTGGCAAATAAGGTAAAATGCCAGGTGAACTATTAACTATTAATACAGTTGACTAGTTTTGAAAGTAATTAAATTCATATAAATTAATTTCTGGGTAAATTGCAGGTTCTGCAAACTAAATGCAATTGATTAAATATCTGCTTTGCAGTAAACTACAGTGAATACATGAAATCAAATGAAAATGTAATATATAATTCCCGCATATAGATAGGTACTTCTATTGGGGACAGTTTTTGAAACGGTTTTAAAAATATTGTTATCTGCTATTATAGGAATATTTATGCTATCGTAATTTAGGAAAAATTTAGGAATGTCATCAATACTATAAAACTTTCATCAAAGACCTAGAATAATTCTGAAGAATTAAAGATAAAATGTGAAAATTATGAAGAATATCTAATTAGAAGTTTGTTATGCAGAATGTATGCATGTAAAATGTTCGGCCAAACTTTAGACAGCTTCAAAAGCCTGGGTCGCGGCGAAGCTTTTGCAGAGTCACCACTGAAGATACCAACAGTGAAGAACACCGAAACGTTTGGAAGCACTGAATTTGACCAGTTACAGTAGCCGCTACGGAACATCTTAGAAAGCGATTTCGTCCGTAACGACTTTAAAACCAACAACTAGAGCCGAAATGAACATCAGGGCGGGTCTAAGGGTTCTGATAACCAGTTGGACCTCACAGAGTCTAGTCCGAGAACAGCGAGGGCGATCAAAGATTCCTAGTTGAGGCTATAGAAGCGCAATGTTATTCTGCAACTGGTTACCAGGTGCATATTTAACGGCATATCAATCCGAAAAACCATCGTGATTTAGATATTTTGAAGTCAAACTTTAACAATCAATAGAATGCTTTATTTTTTGTTTAATTTATTGTGTATTTATTCAAATAACTAATGTCTGACATAGAGTGGTGAAACTTGAACTCAGTTAAGTGCATAAGTTGCATAAATTGAAAATAATTTTAAAACTATTCGTTTCACAAACAAAATTATAAGAAATTTTTTTAGAAATATAATGGTAAAAACATAATTTAATTATCGGAAGTCAAAAGTATCGTTGGAGTAGTAATTTCATAATATCTAAGAATTACTACCCTTCGGAATATGGAAAATACGATGATTTTCTTTTTTTTACTGGTAGGTACATCGAACGATAATTATAAAGAAAAATAATTATTTACGTACACATGCCTACAATTTAATTCTGATAACCAACACGAACTGAAACTATAGCCTCGCAGCTTTATTTCAAACATATATAATTCTACCTTGATGGTAAATGTTTAATAAGTTGTCAACGGATTCATCCATAAAATCAATCGAGCAATAAAGCATGAGGTCGAACAATGCTCTAGTTTCTTGTAGTCGAGAAAATAGAAATTAAAAGTTTAAAACTTTCTGAGGATTTTTCAGCACAAAATTTTTTTAACAGCGCTCGATGATAATAATGTTTTCGTGTAAATAAGTGTCTAATAAAGCAAAATTAAAATTGCGTGGTACGTATTCCTCCAGGAACTGATTAAAACTTTATTCTTGTACATATTACAATTAAATATTTACATCTCTAAAACCGTACTCTAGATATAATTTATCAGAAAAATGATACGGCTTAGAGAATACGGGAATACAAAGTATCAAATTTATTCAATAAATAACGAAGCATTATTAGCTACTTAAAATAGCTAGTACTAGCTACTATTAGCTACTTAAAATTGCTACTATTAGCTGCTAAAATAGCTTGAAATAGCAACTTAAAATAGCTAAAATACCTTAAAATAGCTAAAACATATACTATACTATAATAGCTAGCATAGCTATAGGTACTACTAGCTACTAGCTAAAATAGTTACTTAGAAATAGTTAAAATAGCTTAAAATAGCTAAACTAGCCACTTAAAATAGTTGCTTAAAACAGCTACTTAAAAAAGTTTAAAATTAAATTAATTAAAATAGCTACTATTGTACCGTAACTATTTTAGCTTAGCTAAAATAGTTGCTATTAGCTACTTAAAATAGCTACTTAAGATAGCTAAAATATCTTAAAATCAGTTACTAAAAATAATTAAAATTACTTAAAATAGCTACTTAAATAGCTAAAATAGCTGCTATACTATACTGTAAAAGCTAGATGGCTACTATTAAGTGCTAGCTAAAATAGCTACTATTAGCTACTTAAAATAGTTAGCTAGTAAAGTCTATTTCAGATATCATTGGGGACCTTTATGGTAAGCGCCAGGTATCTTTTAAAAATAAATGATGTTCTGTTAAACTCCCTTGGACTTTCTAAGAAATAAAAAATATTCTAATAGAACTTGATAGATGTATTGGTCTATTTTCATCTAAGAAGGCTATCTTTGAATTATGGTCTATTCGTTTCCGGACACCCTGTATTAGAAACGCTCCAAATTATAAATTCTTATAAGTCAAACAAATAATTTATGATTTGATTTAAAAATAATTCATAAGTTAAAAATATTATTTTTACATACGATTTTCAAATGTGTAACACATCAGTTAACTTTACAATGAATTTACCTGTGAAAAATAAAAAAACTTTTTTATTTTCGTTTTAATGGCATACGTTCAGGGCGTAGAAGACTATTTTAGGCTTTATATTTGCAGTGGTGTCCATTTCAGCGAATATTAAATGGAATTCTTAGTTGTATAGCCACCGCGCTGCCATAATATGTTCGTATCAATAAATAGAAATTAACTTTACGTTTACGGACGTCACAGTTCCATTAAATGAAGTTCTCCTTTGTGATGATAACGTCCAGGAGTTGGTTGTTCGTTACTATTATTACTGCTTAGGGAATCATTGTCAAAGAATATCTCCATTTACATAAATGGGTTAGGTACTCAAAGGAGTGAAGTGAATACACAAAGAACCTGCTGAATTTATTTTGAATATATAAATGTCCCGCCAATTAAATTTGTAGCATACGTTTTTTCTGGTAATTCCAGAGGGTTAGAACGTACACTCTAAAGAGAATCGGTGTGAGTGAAAGCAATAAATAGGAGTGATTCTATTGAGTGTAAATATTGAGTACATTTTCACTCAATATTGGTCATTTTGACCATTTCACTCTTTTATGATTATATTTAAACTAAAACTAAGTACTTTCACTCAAATATAGGTATTCCTTAAATAAATTCTTCACGTAAACTCGCATTTGGTGCACTTGTGCCTAAATCAGAGTAAATGTCCTCATTACTGAGTGAGTTTAAATGTATATTAATTTCGAGAAGGTAATTTAAATGGCGCCATGAAGATAACACCACATATTGCTTCTGTAATCTCGACCACAGTTGATAGGGGCCCGTTCGATACTCCAGAAAAGCGTGATCGCCAGGAGAACAAGTCTTAGCCGGCAGCGGTGGGTCTCAGCTGGCGGGTCTCAGCCAGGACAGGAGAAGGCCCCGCGAAGTCAATTAATTTCAACACTATATATCCTAATGAATCATTTTTGACTGATTTATTTTTGCACTAAATATTTAATTAATTAAAAACTAAGTCTGAGTAGGGATGGCAAAAAAATAAATATGTCGATATATTGATATCGGTAAACAATGACTCAATAATAGTTAAATTTAAATCATATCAGAGAAAAAGTCGACCCTAAATTGGTTTTATATACTCAGAATGGAGTCAAAAGT